AAATGTTATGTCAAATTAGTCAAACAATGTATTAATTCAGATATGAAAAACAGGCCTACTGCTGTTGAGATTATAAATAAACTTGAAAAATGGAAAAACATTATAGTCGCACACGATAGTAATCTTAAATCAGATATTAAAAAAAGAACTAATGCTGCTGGGGTTTTTAATAAACTTAAAAAATGGAAAAAATCTATAGCTGTCAATAATAGTAATATTAAATTAGACAAACAATGTATCGATTCAGATGAAGAGATCAAACAGCAATTTTTAGAAGCTGATAAATCAATTAATGAATTACCAATTACATCACAAAAACACGATAACACGATGTATACTTCTAAACTTATTGATACGAGAGAAATTGTTTCAGAGTCTGAAAATTTTAGGATAACTTAATCCATGTAAAAAATCCGTATTGATAATATTGATTGTAATTTATTTTTTTAATTAAGGTTTAAAGGATATTAAATACTTGATATAGATCGATAGTAAGCATGAATAATTTATTTTAAATGCTTTTTATACCCGCCAAAATTAATACGAATAATAAAAAATTAAATACAAAGATCACGTAAATGATGATACATTCCCTGCAGAAAAGTATTCGCCCTACCTTAAATCATCTGAATTAAACATAAAATCAAAAATAAAATCATGGGCTTTAATTACAATTATAAAATTTGTATTTTTCAATAAGGAAAGTAGTTAAATAAGAAAATTGTCAAAATCAATAAAAGAATATGGACCTATTTGTAATTACATCTGATGCATTTATTTTGAACATTAAATATAGATCTTAATAAATTTTACTTTGTTTTTTGCTTCATTTCTTCTATCAGACCATTAATTTATAAAGTTGTATTGGTATATTATTAGATACGGAAGAAGATATTACTAGACGCCACGAAAGAAAATCTGAAAATCTTATCTATATTAATACTTTGACAATGTTTATCACAAAATGATTGATCAGCTTGTCAGCGAAGTGACAAAGCAATCATTATTGCGAGATCAAGAGGCTTTATTGCGGGTCACATGTAAATCAGTTTTTAGCCATTTATGGGAGGATGCATAATGTTTCTTAGTATCTTGTTGGATACGGGTATTGTGGGTGAATCCGAGTACCCTTATGTCAAGAAAATCCCGAGCTGCAGATCACTGTAGATCACTGTCGGCCTAACTCCGGAGGCCGATCCCGATTCCAAGCCCGGTAACTCTAGGATCGTCAGTCGGTGACAATACGCGGACGTGATTTGCGTAATTTGTGTGATTTTCGTGATTTATACGTACGTACGTACTGTACGTGGATCATTTAACTGTTAATTTGATACTGTAATATCGAATGTACAATGTTCATGTAGGGTCTACTTATGATAATTTATTATTTTAGACGAAATCTTTTTTGTATGATAAAGGATTAAACCTAAAACCAGCGAAAGAAAACCCTGGCGAAAATCTTTACAAAAGGCAAAACTTAAGTCGGAAATGACAAAGGGCGAAATAAAAAGGTTAAATTATAATCAGTAAACCATTTCTTTAATGTCAAAATTAGGTGCAGTTGATATTTTTGTTATTAGACCAACGAAAGACAAAAACTCTTTACAAAAGGCGAAACTTAAATCGGAAATGATGAAGGACGAAATATATAAGATTAAAAAGGTTAAATTATAATCAGTAAGCCATTTCTTTAATTACAAAATTAGGTGTGGTTGTTAGATACTGTTGTTATTAAACACAGAAATATGACTTATATGAAAAGCATTAGTTTTTAGATCCTTGACTCTACCCGCAAAAATTTATAGCGATAACACATCTTTGAAGGTCCTGTATAATTACTATATTTGTTGGCCAAACGGTCAAACATTTAGCATTGTTCTTTTTGGATTTCTTCGTTATTTATTAATTTTGTTATAACCTTTTTTTTAGTCTTGTAACTTTCGCCAGTTCGCAACCAAAAAATATATATTGATATTGGTCAATATCAAGCTGGTATGTCATTGTGGTCGAGGTTCTAAATTGAAATTCTCTGATACAATTATCAATATCCTCATTTTTACTTTTCATCCTTGAACAGTTATATTGGGATCACATGTTAAACACCATGTTACAGACGATTATAGTGTGTGTATTTGCCCATTCAGGATGCCTTTATAATCTGACAAGTTTAAGCAATCGACGGGAGATTCGACATTATTGGCGCTTCTCGCAGCACGCATTAATTACATCGTCAAGTGGCGAAAGAATTAAAGTTAATGGTGTTGTTATTGTTAAAAAAACATTTTGAGCTTATTTATATGATATAATTTTAACGGAACATTATAATATATTTTTAAAGAAACATTTTATAATTTATAATACTTTTTAACTCGCGGCTAATGCCTTAAAAAACATAATTTTCTGATAATTTAATCAGCTAATATTTTGGACCGCTTCCTTTCTTCTATTAATTTCCCATGTTGCAAAAATCTATTCATTTGATTTATGACTAGCGTAGATTATAATGTATTGAAATATTTTCTAATAAGTATTATGAAAGTTAAAATTTGTGATCAATAATAAAGCTTGCATATATGTAAAAATTCCATATATATTGCTTATCGGGTGGTCTGTATCGAGTGACGCCACAAATCAGTATAGCTAATAAGTTTTGTTCACCGGTAAATTGGATTTTTGTTAATAAGAGTACAGCCTGAGATTTGTCTTTTAAAAGAACTTTTATACGTTTACTATTCTTTGTTAGAAGGTAATGGCCATGAATCACATTTTAAGAATAAATAAGTTGTTGTTTCTCGTTATATTTCTAAGTTTTATTTGTTTAACGAGTATTAAAATTCTTTATCAATAGTCAGAATTTATATATTATACATGATAGTACTGGTTCTGTGGCATCGCATGTCATGCAGCTACCCTTAATAGATAAAAGTAATATCAATATTCTATTTTATTTAAAATAATAAAAATATTGAAATACAGAAAATTTATATAATAAAACTTAGATTGTAAAATAATAAAGATCGTATTTTTAGCTTTATCAAATATAACAAAAAATAAAAATTTTAAGAATTAATAAATTCTTTAAATTCATCATCATTACCTAATTGCATAATATCTTATGTTAGCTTGAATAGAATATCATACAAATAATATTAGTTTGAATCTTACATTCTTTTCCATACTTGAAATATTTAATTAATGATTCGAGACTTTCAACCTTATCTAAAAATAAGATATATTAAATTATCTAACAATACTATAATTAAAAAAAATTATAAACTTACTATTTCTTGTAGTAAACCATGCTACAGAAAAAGGCAGCGCATTTAAATGTATTCCAATCATTTCATGAAGAGTCGCAACTCTTTCATAAGTTGTAGTAAAACATTGTTTAAAATATGATAATGAATCAGGATCATATAGTTTAACATAATCTCTTAAAATAAAATATTTAAATTTTTCTTCTTTTTATCATTTTTTTTCCATTATTAAATAACTCTTTTTCGATTTTTTCTATATAGTCTTGTTTATCCAAAGAATCATTATACTTATTCTTTAAATCATCGATCTGGATCTTCTCTGGTTCATTGGAACGGATTTTCAAAATAATAGCCAAAATAGAATTTACTTTATCTTTTTTAACTCCATTTCTCCATGCAAACATATTAATTTCTTTTTTTTTCTTGCCTTTTCTTTTTTTTTTTGTTGAAGCCTCATCTTCTTCACTTTCGTCCTTTTAATTAATAAAGTAATTTTTAGATAAAAAATATTAATATAGAGAATTATATAAAAACAATAAAATTTATTTTAAAATATTCAATTCTGCTTATTTCACTATTTCTTACTACTTAATCAGATAACTCAATTTAAATAAAGCTAGAATATATAAAAATAAAATCTACAAAACATATAGAAATAGACTTTACAAGCTCTATATGAAGACTAATATACATATCTGTAAGGGTCTGCAACTAAACTGTTAATAGCTTCTTTAGACTAGCTCTTGCTAGGGATAGGAATCGGCTATATAATTTAGTCAACTAAATCAACTAAACATAGTAATTTATATATAAATTTTTTTAGTTGACTAAATCGATTCCTATCCTTAGCTATTGCTATAATGAGGCTAAGCTAATTGAACTACAGCTTGAATCATAATCAAACTATGGCTTAGAGTCGCAGCTTAGATTTAAGTTATAGCTATGATTTAGCTTAAACTATGACTCTTAATTGTTATGTGACTAATATTGTATTTCTAGCTATTAAAATTATAGCTTGAGCCATGACTACTAAAGCCGCTGTTTGAGCTATGGCTTAGGTTATAGCTCAAACCACAGCTCCAATAGTCATAGCTCAAGCTGAAGTCATGGCTTTTAATAGCAAAGCTAAGTCATCCAAGCTAATAACAACATTACCTACAGCCCTGAAAGCCAACTTAATACAACTCATAATCGAATGCACATAGTGATCCAGACACTAGAAAATCAACATATTCTACAGGTAGAAGAAAGAGATCTAATTATTACATATAAAGAACATAGTCAGAAGAATTTATATAGTTATAAAGAGAATTAAACTTATTTGTTCTATGTTAATATAAGAAAAGCTATACCTCAATGATCCTTGCACTGCTACCGCAGCTGTAAAGCAATCAACAATGGTCCTTGCATTGCTAATACAGTCACAAACTGAACTATAAATAGGTTCTTGCAATAATATTGCAGCCGCAGAGCCAAACTAACAAATCGGTTCTTAAAATACTACTAATGCTGTGGAGCCAAAACTACCAATAGGTTTTTTTTGCACTGCTACTGCAGCCACAAAGCCTATAACTATGACCCAGTCTTATTCTATTAATGTATGATGTGATATATAGCATTTAACCAGTGACTATCCGGTGCTAGGTAGAAGCAGAAGAGGTAATTAAGCCAGCCTTCACAAGTGAGCTATAGCGAAAGGAAAAGTAACCTTTTTTTACTATAGCAAAAAATCTTAAATAGCTCCTAACTAAAACAAAACATTTCTCTCTTTTCTGCATTATGATCCTATGTAACTGCTGTTCCTTTTTTTTTCTACCAAATTACTAGTAAACAAAGCAATTCAAAGAGTTTGCCAGTGCGGCCCCCAAAAGTACTGGTCACATGATTCGAATCATCGCACAGCCACTTCTCAATAACCAGTAGTATATTGCTTTGTTGGGTAAATCAGGTCAAGAAATTTTTACAATAATAAAGCTGCATGTGGGGCTAGACGATTCAGCCATTTTTTAAGAAATTATACAGTGGTTGTGGCGTCTTATCATCTGACCAGTACTTTTGGTGGCCGTCCTGGCGAACTCTAATTCAAATAATCAATAAAGTTATCTGATTTCATAATAATAATTGCCGTCACTTTATTGACAGACTTCTCACGTTTTTTTATAAAGATAATAAATAAATATAATACTTCATAAACAATCAATTCAGACTTCATAGACAATCAATTCATAAATATATTTATTTTGCAGACAATCAATTCACAGACATGTTCATATCATAGACAGTTTATCTTTTCTGACAAACTTATTTTGTAGATAGTTTTTCTGCCGATAGCTTATTTTATAGCTAAAGTAATTCGTTATAGTTATATATTAGAACTAGTGTATAATTTATAAAAAAAAACTGTTAGTGAAAAAACTATCTATGTAATAAACTTGCATGTGAATTAATTGTCTGCAAAATAAACACGGCGAATTGATTTTCGGTAAAGTGATGTGTTGATATGAACGTTAATGAAGTAGTATATAACCCAAATTTTAATACTTACTTCATCAGTTAAGGTTTCATCAGTTAAAGTTTGAAGTTGCTCACTCAAATTTTGATTTACAGCAAGTAGATTTCTATTATCATCGATTAATTTCAAATTTGCATCATTAGAAATCTGTAAATCAGTTTCTAGTTCTTTAATTCGTTCATTTAAACTTTCAATAGTTAATGCTAATTGTTCTTTAGCAGCACTTCTTGTAATACGGCCTTTAAAAAAAATATAAGTTAAAAGAAAAAGATTACATTAAAATACTAACAAAATTACCTTGTTCCATTTTGTAAAATGAGGAGGCTGTTTGCGAGTGTACTAATTTTTGGTGCTTTAGTCTAGATTCTTCAATTTTTATGTATTTTCTAATTGGTTAGTTACGTAATATACAAAAATAACAACGTAGTATTTAATAATGCACTAATTTGAGGGCTACAAAGCTAAAACCTGTAATTCTTGATTTTCGAAAATTTCAATTAGAAACATACTAGCTAAATTAATACTATCACGAAATACTAAAAAGCTATAATAAAATATATAAAAACAAGTAATTATTTGAATTATTTTAACTAATTATTTAACTAACAAACTCATACGTATAAGCTTTTATTACTATATTTACTATGCCAATATATGCGCATTCGAATTACTAATTCATTTAACACATCAATTTGTATGCATTTGCTAATTATTTAATTAACGCACCTATATATGAGCTTTAATTACTGATAATGCACCAATATACATTAATTAATATATTAATATATGTGCATTTACAAATTATGTAATTAACACATATATATATAAGCTTTTATTACTGTATTAATACATCAATATATGTGCGCTTATATTACTAATTTGATATGGGTTAATTCTAAGTGGACACGAAATTCATTAATTGCACTAATTCAAAAACAGTGATAAACTCAACATAAACTTGAATTTTCCCTTTTTATTAAAGATATATATCTTTCGACATCGAAATTCTGTATAATATAAATGTAATAGATCAGCATATATTAATAATAATAATTTCAATAAATTTTACGAATTCTATGAATCCTGCATAATACTATTGTTAATAGTAACATGCAGGATTCATAGGATTCACAAATTTATCGATTGCACTAATTCGAAAACATCGATAAATCCAATGCTTAATTAATAATATAAATTAAAATCAATATAAACTTGAATTTTCTCTTTTAATTAAGGGAACTGATACTTATTACATGAATATAACGCTCTCAGAGCCAGTCATTTGACACAATTACAAGTTCTAAAATAATCAATCGTTTGAAATTGCAAGTTCTAACATAACCAATTATATAAAGTTTATATTATGATTACTTAAGAATTGTAATTGTCAAATGGTTGTCTCTGGAGGGGGTTATATTAATGTAACAAGTGTCAGTTCTCTAAAGATATCTTTCAACATCAAGGGCACTTTCAAGCAAAAATTCGGGTTGAAAGTGCTCCAAATTTCTGGATCAATAATCATACTTACAATTGATAAAAAAAATTTCTTAATTTCTTTCATTTGAGTTGACGGGAGGTCAACAGATCAAAAAGGCAATCAATGCAATGATGTACTGGCGTGCTGACAATCACGCAGAGATCCTGAAGCTAACCAGGCAAAATCTGGTTATATTGCTCCAAACAAGCATGGTGAAAATATGAAGCAAAGAAGTAGAATCAATCAAATAACTATTCGAGGCATGGTGATACGAGTGCCAAGATGAATAGGGGCCAGAAATAAGGGCAAACAGCGGCAAGTGGCCAAACAATGGCCTTTAAAAGTGAAATATTCGCACCTGGCCCACCCACTCTATGCATACCATTTTGCAAAACCTTCATATTTATAGCCAATCTGCAGTATGCAGGCTACTGTTTTGTGTCGCTAATCTGTTTGCAAAATTGAATCAGTCTTAAAAAATACGGGTCATGTAGATGGCGTCACTAGCATAATATGCAAATGCGATGCAGAGGTAAAGCTTTTGTATACGATAGCACTATAGATTAGAGATATTATCCTGCATGTCCAAACTCAGTTTGGCCTGTTTGAAACCCAACATGTTAAACACGTATTTTTGTAATCCCGTGATTTCAATTAGGAACTTTTAAACTCAGTACCGCTCATAGTGCTCAAATCAGGTTCGAAATCGACTTCTTAACAATGTTTCATGATAATTTTTTTAATTAAAAGTTGATTTTCATGACGTAAATGATGTAAATGAGGTTTCATATTATTTTTTAATTAAAGTTATGCTTTTTTAAAAAAAATATATATGTATCGCTTTGTAGGAACATTTTCAATTACTATAAATATGTAACATTTTTTTTTCTTATCCTCAATGAACTTATCTCCACGTCGATTTCAACATTATCTCAGTATACAGTACATGTCCTTCAAAATGATTTAAAACCGATCCCTTCTGGGTTAAAGTGACGACAAGTAATATGCAAACATTGCAATCAAGCCTCTTCAATGAATACAGGTTTTCCTACAATAAAAACGCATTTTAAACATAATCAGCTGGATAAGTGGAATGAATTAAAGAAGTATTAATAAAACGAATATAGATTTGAAGAAAATATTGGCGCAATCCTTTGTTTGAAAGCGTGATATGAATCTGGTATGATTGAATGCATGAAGGTCAACAAATACCACTAATTAAATAAATTCGAATTCAAAAATGAAATCCGGTTTCAAACTCTATTTTTACCCTGTATATTACTAAAAATTGATAAATAAGAATAAGCTATATAAAAATATTATATCATAAAATAATACTCATGTATCACTATTATCGATTTGTATATATATATAGATATAGAATTTCTTATAGCTTAATAAAATCGTTCTCAGAATCTAAAATAATCAATTTTACTTTTAAAAAAAAGTTCTCTAAAGTGATCCATTATTTTTATTATGGAAGTTGTTAGTGATAATAACTTTGATTCTAATGTGAATACTAATTTTGCTGTAGAAGTTGATAATATTAATAATGATGAAGAAATACAACAAGAAATCGCAAATACTATAATAAATCATGCACAAACTTATTCTAGTATACAATCGCTATATATACTTGAAGAAAGTAAAGAGTATCGTAAATTCACCTTACCTCTTCAAACATATCATAAGTGGATAAAGAAGAAGAAGCAACAAAACAAATAAATTTTATAAAACCTCATGGATCATATAAAAATGAATATGGAGGAGTTTGGACTAAACATTATATCTGCTCGCGTAGTGGTACAAAGCAAGTACGCAATGATCGTGTACAAGGAGGAAACTCACAAAAAAAGCGTCAAGTTCAGAAAGAATCAAAAAAGTTGGTTGTCGATGTGAAATACGAATTCGTTATAAGCCATCTGTTTTTCCTCATGATATTGTAATAGTTCATTATCAGTATAACCACAATGGGCATACACCTGGAAGTCGTGCAGATGTTCAACATTTAAGAAAGTCAGAAGAAACTATTACAGAAATTAAAAAGTTTGCTCGACAAGGTCTATCACTTTCAGCAATTCGACAATTAATGAAAGCACCAGAGGAAATAACAGAAAGGTATGTCATTATTACGCTAATATTCAGCTTATGTGTTATTTACAATTGTATACACTAGTAAAAAATAAAAAATTCGATGTGTCAAATAGCACTATTCAAATGCTATTCGACATGCCATTCAATTCATTATTCAACTTATATGTCATTCAACTTATCACATGACTTCGCAGACATAAATTCGTATCTGTAAAGTCATGTGATAAGTTGAATAGCATATTGAATAGCATGTTAAATAAATCAACAAACAATTAATAGTCAAGGTTATTTTAAAGATGATTAATTCACAGATAAGTTTATTTTCTAGAGAGTTTATTCCCCTAACAGCTCATTTCCACTAGCGAGATTTTTTATAAACTGCACTAACCTGAACTCTAATTTCAAAACCAACTCTAATAACAATTACTTTGTAAATTAATCATTTGTAAAATAATCTTATTTGTAAGTTAATTGTCTGAAGTATTTGTCTATAAAAAGAGTAACATTTCTATAAATATTGCTACTAAACTGATTAGAATATACTTTAATTAAGTTTGGCATGATAAAAATTTAATTCTTAAGGTTTTAATTTGTTAAACCTATAGACACTAATTTTAAACTAACTGAACCTTTTAAAATTTGTAAAGACTTCAATTATTAGTACTACCCAGCTGACTTTTAAAATTTTTTAACTTATTTAACAAATTATAGATACTTTACCTCGAAAGATGTTGTTCCAAATAGAGATGAGTTGCTCACATACGAAGATATTTACAATGTTATATACAAGGAAATTCATTCAAAGTATCATCATAATAATAATGATGCAATAAGCGTACTGCATTGGGCCAATATTTTACGAAATAATAGAGAGAATATGAATAATTTAAACGATCCGATACTTTCATGTTTTCAAATGCATAGTGAAAACCAGAAGTTTCTGCTTGGGTTTCACACACCCTGGCAATATAAAATGTATCAAAAATATCATGAGGTATTAAAACAATTTTAATTTTTTTTTATTTAGAATATACAAATTAATCTTAAATTTTTGCATAACGTTAATATTACAAATTAGATATTTTTTCTAAACTAACGCATTTTCTTCATATATAATAATATTAGAAATTTTCTCTAACTCAAATAAATAGATATTAGATTCGATAAGATTTAATGGTACCTAATATCTATTTATATTTCGATAAGCTCCTATAATAATAGTTTTTCTTACCAGTATCATTCATTTCGTAGACTTTACAGACAACTTAGTTCACCGATAATTAATTTACAGACAAGCTTATTTTGCAGATAAAGTAATTCTGGTCATTTTCATTAAGATCAGATATAGAATTAGAATCAAGGTTAATGCAATTTATAAAAACAAACTAATCTTGTATATAAATTTAATTGTTTTAAACTAAGCTGTCTATGAAGTGATAGTAAAATATTACAGACCCCTTTGTCAAGCTAATAACTTTGAATTTTCATAGTTCTTAGCTAAATCATATTGAATATTAGCTAAAATTATTGCAGATAGTATTGGCTTCAGTTAGTAATGCAGTAGAAACATTCTAATAATTGCTATAATGAGTTATGGTATAGTTATGGTTTAAGCTATAATATCATTAGAACGATTCTACTGCATCACTAGTTTTAGCTAAATTAAACTAGTTAAATTTTTAGATGGTTCTTGATTTTTATTGGCAAGTCATGCAAAAATAAAAGTTAACTTGTGTGGTCTTAGTTTAGTTTTAGAATTACTAAAATAGTAAATTTTTTTTGTTTTAGCTTGTCCATATCGACTCTACTCATAATACAAACTCAAGCAAATATTTTCTCTTTACAATCTTGATTCGTCATCCGCATAGTGGACATGGAGTACCTTTGGCTTGGTTGATTTTAGAATCTTGCGACAGTCAAACAATTGAAATATGGTTTCGTATGTTGAAGAATGATGGATGGGCAGAACCAACAGCTGTAATGTTAGATAATGACAATGCAGAGATAAATGCTATTCACAATGTATTTCCCCATTCAAAGATCTTTTTATGCTGGTGGCATTTAAAACGTGCTTGGTGCCGGTGAATTTCTAAAAAAATTCAAGCAGAGAGTCATAATATCTTGTTCAATGATTTGGACCAATTACTTAGTATTGACAATGAAAATAAGGTAGATGTCACTATTAGCCAATTTGAACAAAGGTGGCAGAATACATTGGTAGTACAGTATTTTGCTAAATATAAAAAAAAAAAAGGTAAATTCTATTTTTTTTATATTTTAGTTAAATTTACTAAAATGCATCTATGATATTTTACAAGTCTCTATCATTTTCCTGACAGCCACTTCCTGACAAACAAAAATTGACCAGAACTAACACTAACCCTAACATAACTTTCAGGATTCGATATTGTCAGAAAAGTGGTTGGTGGGAAACTGATAAGATCTGATATTTTATGCTCATAAATATCTCAAAGACTAGTACTGATATACTGTACAATAAAATATTAATAGGTGCATTCTATAATATATATATTGTAAATTTATTACTAAATTTTAATTATAGAAATGTGGATAAAATGTTACCATCATAACCATGTTCGTGGTATAAATACTAACAATTATATCGAAGCATATCATAGAAAAATTAAGCATGTCTATCTCTTAGTACGTATTAATCGACGTGTTGATTTTCTTGTAAATGAGTTAGCAGTAAATGTTTTAAGGGATTATCGTGAAGAAACTATTAGATATGAGTTAAATATTGGACGAATGGGATCACATCATAGAACTTGGAGAAAGTTTGAAATGAACTCAACCAATATTGATGATGATTCAATTTTTCGTCTA